AGAGAGAGAGAGAGAGAGAGAGAGAGAGAGAATATATCTTTTTCGACGATTCTTTTCCTTTCCTTTCCTTTCTTTTCGTTTGCATGGAGAAAAATCTTCAACAAAGAGGGAGGGAGAGAAAGAGAGAGATGTTTAGCAGTTAAATATCGGTCTACAGGAATTTTTTATACGATTTGGAGGGAAGGAAGGGGAGAGGCGGCAGAGAAAATAGCAATGGGAGATGAATAATGAAATAACCGTGGACTGTAAGTATCCGAGAGGCGTGCACGATGCGTGCATCGAGGAGAAAAGAGAATACTCCTCGAGAATCGATCTGAAGCGCACCCTTGACTGTTGCAATTACTTGCGGGAGTGGGCGAACGAGATTCGATCGAGCCTCTTAATTAACGGACGCGATATCATGCATCTGTCTCATCGTCCCGATACCTGGCCCGATTCAATGTCAAATACGAATCTGTCAAACGATAGTCGAAAATCGGCCAAAAATTTTCTTTCGACGATCGAGTGATAAATTTCGAATAATTAGTGGTGATTTAAAATAGAAAGAGAGGAAAGAGCGGAATGATTGACAAATCTGCGAAATAATAAAATCAGTCAAAAATATTTTTTCGGCGATCGAATAATAAATTTCGTCGAATATTTAGTGCCAATTTAGAATGGAAAGAGAAGGAAGAAGAGTTGACAAATCTACGAAACAATAACCAAAAATCAATCATCGATTGATGAATTGAATGAAATAAATTTCATCGAATAATTCGTGGTGATTTAGAATAAAAAGAGAGGGAAAGAGCAGATTGACAAATCTGCGAAACAATAATCAAAAATCAGTCAAAAATCTTCTTTCGACGATCGAATAATAAATTTTATCGAATAATTAGTGGTGATTTAGAATAGAAAGAGAGAGAAAAGCAGAATGATTGACAATAATAAAAAATCAATCAAAAATTTTCTTTCGACGATCGAATGAAATAAATTTCATCGAATAATTAGTGGTGATTTAGAAAGAGAGGGAAAGAACAGATTGACAAATCTGCGAAACAATAATTAATCAATAAATAAAATCAGTCAAAAATCTTCTTTCGACGATCAAATGAAATAAATTTGAAATAATGCCAATTTATAACAGAAAGAGAGAGAAAAACGACCGACGAATTTTAGAAAAAACAAAAATCGAAAACCTTCTTTCGACGATCAAATGAAATAAATTTCGTCGAATAGTTACTGTCAATTTAAAAGTGGAAGGGAAACGAAGAACGTTGACGAATCTGCATAACTAATTTGCCAATGGTTACGACCACGACGACGACGCGCCAATCATCTATTTCCGCCCCCAAAGTTGAGGAGTAAAACTGTGAAAATTAGGTAGGACGAAGTTGCGGCCACGGCTAATTCGAGAGAAGTAACTTAATTACTCCCCGCCATCAACTACCACCTCTCTCTGAACACTACACACTCGCCCAATTCGCATCGAAAGATCGGCGGACGCGTGAACGAATCGATAAGAATATTCCGGCCTTCGTCGCGTAAATCCAATAATAATAATAATAATAATAATAATAATAATAATAATAATTCGTGTGAGGGAAAAAAGTACGGAAAAATGCGAGGAAGAATAGATTATATTTAATAACGGGTCTAATCTTTTTTCTGGTTACAGACGGAGCTCTCGCAAAATTTGCAACAACTGTCGGAAAGAGCTCGGTCGACGACGGAATTCATTCAGAGGCTCAAAGGGATGACCGACAAAGTGCACGTGAGTATTTATCTTGGACGCCCTTTTTAAATTTCACCTCCACAATTTCCAGTCCGCCGTGAAATTGCGGAAGAGCCGTGCTCGATAATTGCTTCCCTCTCCCTTTCCCTCTCTCTCTCTCTCTCTCTCCATCATATTATTACTCCTTCGACTCCTCCTCCTCCTCCTCCTCCTTTCTTTCGATTTCGATTATCCTATGATATAAATCCGTGGACGATCTTGGCCTCCTCCTCCTTTCTTTCGATTTCGATTATCCTGTGATATAAATCCGTGGACGATCTTGGCCTCGTCTGTCGACAGGAGGAGTGCGTCGCGTTGGAGGAGGAGGTGGAGGACAGGGTGGCGAATTTGGTGAGCCTGTTGCAGGCGAGGAAATCCCGGTTGATCGAGGCGGCCCGGCAAACCCGCGAGGCGAGGGTGCGCTCTCTCAGGGACCAAGTGGCCAGATGCGCGTCCCACCTGCAGGCGACCACCGCTCTCCTCACGTTCTGCATCGAGGCGCTGAAGGAGAACGACAGCGCTGCCTTCCTTCAGATAGGCGGCATGCTCTCGGTCCGCGCGGCGACCGCCGCCGGCTCTTGGGGCGGCGCCGAGGGGGTGCAAGAAATTGCTCGGCTGCCGTTGCTCGATCTCACCCTGGATGACAAACCGTTGCGACGCGCTATCGATCAACTTACCTTTGTTCAGTTGAAACGTAAGCTCTCTTGCTTTTTCTCTCCCTTTTTTTTTTTTCTTCGTCGAAATTATTCCATCCCCTGCTCCGCGTTTCTCTTTATCGAGAGAATAAAGATCCCTCGATCTTCTTTCATCTCCCTCCCCTCTTCGCAAAAGAGAAAGAAAAACAAACCGGAGAGCCTTGAATCGCGTCATCACGGGATCGTGAAACTTGCTACGATCTCGTTCCTTCTTTGGATTTTTTTAAAATTGGACGATCGATAATCTCCAGTTTGTCGACCAACGCGAGGAGAGACGATTCTCGTCGTCGAAAAAATTATTCCGTTTTATAATATTGATGGAATGTAAACGATTGCCTGCCTCATGTTGGACGCAGCATCGGAAGGAGAGGAGCGATACCCGATTGCAGGTAATTCTTCGTCGAAAGAAATTGCAGAAATTTTTTTTTCTCTCTCGAAAGGGAGGATCCATCTTATTTATCGCTATATTTCTTTTTTTTTTCTTCTTCCTCTTTTTCACGGAAGAAACGGTTTTAGTTTACAAAGAAGATGTCTTTTTTGTTTCTTCTGTAAAAAAAAAAAATCTTTCGTCGCAAATCGTATTCTTGGATATATATTCGCACGAAAGTTTGTGAAAACTTTTATCGACGAAACGTGTCTCTGAGGCGTACCTGCGAACAGTTTGAACGTTTCGAGAACGACTTTGTTCGCTCGCCGCAGAAAGATTGTAAAGTTGAAAAAAAGAATACGATGCTTATTTCCCTCGATACGAGGATATGATTTATTTCACGATTTATTTTCGCCCCTATCGATCGATGTATGAAACAAACGTCGAAGGTGCGCCTTCGAAGACGGTGAAACGATGATTAAAAATAATCTGAAACGATGATTCGTCCGTCTTTCTTTCTTTCTCTCTCTCTCTCTCTCTTTCTCTCCTTTACCTTACCTTTTCTCTATCTGCTGTTTCTTTCCCTCAGCCCCCGGAGCGCCGATATTGATACCGGAAGAGTGCAGCGCGGAGAACAACAGCGTGACAGTCGCCTGGCAACCACCACCTGGTCACGGAATTGTTGGGTGTGCCGGTCAAAGGGGACCCGCCATCGAGGGATACTTGTTGGAATTGGACGACGGATGTGGCGGTGAATTCAGGGTAAATGAGTGATCTTTTTGGAAGAAACATCGTTCTCGAATTTATATATTATACATATATATATATATATTCATTCATATATATATCGATGAACAGTAAATTCAAATCATTCGAAGAGCAAAGTTCGAAGCATCCGAAAATATATGAAAGCGTATCGAGGATTGAGAATCCCGCCATTGAGGGATATTTGTTGGAATTGGAGGACGGATGTGGCTGTGAATTCAGAGTAAACGAGTGATCTTTTCGGAAGAAATTTCGTATATGTACATATATATGAAGGAGTAATTATACTCATATACTCATATATATACATATTCATTTATATATATATACATATATTGATAAACAGTACATTCGAAAATCAAAGTTCGAAGTATCCAAAAACGTAGAATTAAGAATCCTTGTCATTGAGGGATACTTGTTGGAATTGGATTTTGATTTTTCAGAAAAACTTCGTTTTCGAATTTACTCTTTCATATATGTACATATATAGAAATAATTATACTCATATACTCATAACTCATATATACTCATTCATATATATACATATATCAATGAACATGAAATGAAAGCGTATTGAGAATCGAAGCTTTTGAGGGATACTTGTTGGAATTGGAGTGATCTTGATTTTTCCGAAAAACTTCGTTCCCGAATTTACTTTTTCATATATGTACATATATATAAGAAGAAGTAATTATACTCATATACATATATACTCATATATATATATATCGATGAACAGTAAATTTGAATCATTCAAGGAGCAAAGTTCAAAGCATCCAAAAACATATGAAAGCGTATCGAGAATCGAGAATTCTGCCATTGATACTTGTTGGAATTGGATTTTGATTTTTCGGAAAAACTTCGTTCCCGAATTTACTCTTTCATATATGTACATATATATGAAGAAATAATTATACTCATATACTTATATATACTCATATATACTCATTCATATATATATATATAGTAAATTAGAATTATTCGAAGAGCAAAGTTCGAAGTATCCAAAAACGTATGAAAAGGTAGAATTAAGAATTCCGCCATTGAGGGATGGATATTGAAATTGGATTTTGATTTTTCAGAAAAACTTCATATTATATTTTCGAATTTACTCTTTCATATATATACATATATATGAAGGAATAATTATACTTATATACTCATATATACTCATTCATATATACTTATATACTCATATATACTCATTCATATATCGATGAACAGTAAATTCGAATCATTCGAAAATCAAAGTTCGAAGTATTCAAAAACGTATGAAAACGTAGAATTAAGAATCTCGTCATTGAGGAATACTTGTTGGAATTGGATTTTGATTTTTCGGAAAAACTTCGTTCCTTTATATATATATATATCCATGAACAGTAAATTCGAATCATTCGGCGTAGAATAAAGTTCAAAGCATTCAAAAACGTATGAAAGCGTATCGAGGATCGAGGATCCCGCCATTGAAGGATATTTATTGGAATTGAACGACGGATATAGCGGTGAATC